ATAGATAGATAGATAGATAGATAGATAGATAGATAGATAGATAGATACACATACAACCTCCCCCTCTCCTCCCTCCTTCCCTCCCTCTCTCTCTGTCTCTGTCTCTGTCTCTGTCTCTGTCTCTCTCTCTCTCTCTCTCTCTCTCTAAATATAATGTACTTCTTATCACCAGCATTACCAGGATAACCAAAGGTAAATAAAACCCATCTTTGCACAATTCCCGTGGCTAAAAACACCATTTCTTTATCAAAAGACCAAAAGACAGACATGCCTTCCCCAAAACCAGAAGCTCTGGCAAAACTCTTCCTGGCAGAAACTCCCTCTGTGGCTCTTCTCATCCTGCCCAGATTCACCGCCCCGAGGCAATTTTTCCCCAGATCAAAAAGTTGGCAACTCTAAATTCAGCCGAGATGCTGTTCCCCAAAGGTCAAATGCCATGGGAAAAGCATTCGTTGATGGATCTCTGTGCCAGCTGACGATTTTAAATTTGATTTTTTGTTTTTTAAATAACGGCATCTTTACCATTTGCCCAACCGTTCAGTTGTTGACTTCTCCATAATAGCTTTAATCTCTTCTATATGGCGATTAATCAGTCTCGCTCTCTTCATTTCACCCAAAATGAAAAGTTACCCGTCCAGGAAGAGTCAAAATCAGAACTTTCAAATGCCGACTGGCCAATTTTCCAAATTCGGCTGCTTTTAATAGTGGACAGTTTTGATTCCCTCTCCATAAACATCATTATAAACTTCACCTATTTATTTATGCTTCTGTATCTCTGCAAAGACATTTTCTTCCAAACCTCTGTTGTTTTAATTTCCCCCCAATGCTTAATTCCTACAGCAATTTTACGCTCCAGATCAACATCGCTTGATATGAGCGAATTCTTTCTGAGCCTAAATTCTTTATTTCCTCATTAAGGTGTATCCTAATGTCCTGGGGCAAAGAAAAAAAACACTTTAAAAAAAAAAATTTCGGAGATAGGATAGGCTGAAGGGAGGTTGACTAAAACATCAAGCCTGCTACATTCTTGGCCAAAAGTTTTTAAACCTCAGCCTTCCCGATTAAACGGTGAAGCCCTCCAACCCACGCAGGTCTTATCTCAGCTGGGAAAGTTGAAATCCCACGAAAAATGAAAAAATGTAATGATATCACAGGGACACTGAGTTCAGTTAATGGACTCTGGATCGCTGCCTATCTTGTTAAGCCTTTCCATTGATCTGAGGCCCAGCACAGATGATCCAAGAGGATTAGGGGACTGAAGGCTAAAACATATAAAGAACGATTGCAGGAACTGGGTACGTCTAGTTTAATGAAAAGAAGGACTAGGGGAGACATGATAGCAGTGTTTCAATATCTCAGGGGCTGCCCCAAAGAAGAGGGAGTCAAGCTATTCTCCAAAGCACCTGAGGGCAGGACAAGAAGTCACGGGTGGAAACTCATCAAGGAGAGAAGCAACTTAGAACTAAGGAGGAATTTCCTGACAGTTAGAAAAATTAACCAGTGGAACAACTTGCCACCAGAAGTTGTGGATGCTCCATCACTGGAGGTTTTTAAGAAGAGATTGGACAACCATTTGTCTGAAATGGTATAGGGTTTCCTGCTTGAGCAGTGGGTGGACTAGAAGACCTCCAAGGGCCCTTCTAAGTCTGTTATTTTGTTAAGATACTTGTCCGCACTTCCCCAGCTGCAACCCATGTATTTAGTAAGATTCGGTCAATTTCTCTCTCTTTTTTAAAATGCAGGCACAACTTGCATAGCCCTCAAGTCGAGACTCCCCAAAACAGCTGACCATTACTGCGTGAAAACACACATCTTGCCAAACAGAAATGATGCCTCCAGCAAAAGGGTGAGTTTTAATTCGGTTTGGCGCACAATGCTGCATATTAACCAGAGGTGGTAATTCAGCCGGTTCTGACCGGTTCTAGAGAACCGGTAGCGGACATTTTGAGTAGTTCAGAGGACCGGCAGATGCCACCTCTGACTGGCCCCGCCAACCCCATCTATTCTCTGCCCCCCATTGAGTCCCAGCGGATTGGCTGGGTCTCCTTGGGTTGCCCTGCCCAGGAGAACGGAGCTGGAAAGCAGGTTCGTGGGGGGGAGGAGGGAAGGGGGATTTTAATACACGTAATAATCTTCTTGATGAATGTATCTTTTCTTTTTATGTACACTGAGAGCATTTGCACCAAAGACAAATTCCTTGTGTGTCCAATCACGCTTGTCCAATAAAGAATTCTATTACTATTCTATTTTATTCTTTTCCTTCTATTCTTTTCTCTTTTCTTTATTCTATTCTTTCTCTTCTCTTCTCTTCTCTTCTCTTCTCTTCTCTTCTCTTCTCTTGTCGCCAATAAAGAATTCTATCTATCTATCTTGCTTTCACGCATGTCCGCCACATATGATAATAAGTACCCGGGGTAATTGTGATCGTAACTCGAGGACTATCTGTACAGATCTATTTTTGGCTACTCATTGTCCTCTCCCTCACTCCTCCTCCTGCCCCCCCCTCCCCACTTTGATTCCAGGGAAACAGCCGTACCCAAAATAACCGAAAACAAAACCTCCCGTAATTAGCAAGGGAAGTGCCTCTCCCAGCTGTCTTCGCTCTTTTCCCATCACAAGGCCGACTCGTCCCAGGCGGGGGACTAAACAGGATCAGGTGGCAGGCTGAAAAAAAACCAACCCACCATCTGGGCAGCATCCACAGGTCCAAATTCACACAAGCCCGTTTTGAGACACGGCAGATATTCAGGAGGAATTTCTTGACAGTTAGAACAATGAATCTGTGGAACAACCTGCCTCCAGAAGTTGTGAAGGCTCCAACACTGGGTGTTTTGAAAAAGATGTTGGATAACCCTTTGCCTGAAGTGGTGTAGGGTTTCCTGCCTAAGCAGGGGGTTGGACTAGAAGACCTCCAAGGTCTCTTCCGACTCTGTTATTCTATTCTATTCTAAATAGCATTTCATGAAACCGCAGGAAAAAGAGAGAAAGAGGAAAAAAAAAAAAAGGAAGAAAACCACAGCAATGAGAGGGTTGTTTTAAAAGCGCAGCCTGGCTTACAGGAAACATGTTGGCAAAGCGTGTCTGGCTACTGAACCTTAACCAAAGTCTGAATGCCACAAGGACAAGTTTTCAGGACGGAATTAGATTTTAGATGGCTGAAAGGAAGCAGATTTTGGAGCGTGACGGAGTTCCTCGTCTCTTCTACAACGCCGGAACTCGGATGCAAGTGGTTAAATACAGACTGATTTCATTGAAGAAGTTAAGTGCGAGAACCTGGCTGGTTTTGGGAAGCTTTGGGGCGAACTGGCTGCTAGTTTTATAGCCGGTTTGGTGAACTGGCAAATCCCATCGCCTGGCTGGCCATGCCCACCTTTTCCCTCCCAGGAGTTTCCACGTGGCCCGTTTTGGAAGCAGGTAAATGCAGGGCGCTTGTGGAGTCTCACGGAGGGCGAAAAACGGGCCTCCCAGAGGCTCCAGAGCCCAAGGGAGGCCGTTTTCACCCTCCCGGAGGCTCAAGGAAAGCCTCCGGAGCCCGGGAAGGGTGAAACTGCCCCTCCATGGCGCAGGAGGCCGACTAGGTCACGCCCACCATGGCCACGCCCACCCCGCAACTGGGCACAGAACCGGTTGCACCCCTGCCTCCGATGCTTCGAGACCCGTTGCAAACCCCGCTCCTTCCCTTCTCTAGCGCTCAATTTAGCACAGCAGGCTGTCTGTCGCTGAAACAGGATACGGTAGCGGAGGGAAGGTTTCGATATTGAACATTGCAAAGGGATCGTCTGCTTTTAGCCGCGGGCCGGTCCCTGCAAAAGCCGTGCAAAGTTTTCGAATGGCACAGAACGCTTCGTCGAGTTTCTCCCGTCTCCAACCGGCCACTCAAAAACTCAGCCCGCAGCCACCTTCCCTATTTTGGGTCCACTGAAACTGTTGTATGGGCAAGCGGTCAGCTTTCCCACGACATCGGTAAATTCCCATCTCGGTGGAGATAGAAGCTGCCAAAGCAGCCATTAATCTGTTTCCCCCAAAAGGATAATTAAACTGCAATCCAAGAGCAGAGATTAAGTTGAGTTCTACTGATCGGCTGCCACTGTTGGGGAAGATAAAGTGAAATTACAGCCGGCAAGTCACAACACAACGTGGGGAAAATATTGGGTCTTTCTCCAGATCGGGTAAAAAGAAATCCCTGAATGCAGAAAACCAGCCTATCAGGGTGGGATGACCCGGGGTGTGGCACAAAGGCAACACAGTCAAATGAGCCAGAAGAATCCCTTTAATACCCCCAACTTTGCCCCCAATGTCCAGGTTACCTTCGGCTGGAGAAAAAAACTCTCCCAAGAAGTCTTTAAGTGGAGAAAATTCAGTCCAAAAACAAAGTACATACATACAAACTGTAACTAAAAATCCACACAAACCATGCTGTGGTAATTAACTGGACAGGGCAGGAGAAGGAATTGCAGACTTGAAAGGCCACACAGTTGGGAAGACGCC